AGTCATTCTCATGCTTGCAGTCTCTCCCCCTCTCCTGCAAATGACTCTCTAAGTATTTATCCCCAGTGGAACAGCTTCTGCAGGAGAGATGGAGGGAGCCTATCTCAGAATATCCCATAGAGAGGGGGCAGATCCCTGTTCAAATCCTGTCTCCTCATCAGGTGGAAGAGGGACTTGAACCTGTGGTCTCCCATGTCCCAGGTGAGTGCTGTAAACACTGGGCTAAAGACGATGAGGGAGAGCGTTCTGTGAGTGAACTCACCTGAGGGGCCTCAGGCCGCCTACCAGCTTAGGCCCCACACAGGAGTTAGGCGGCCTAAGGCTGATCTTCCCTGGGGCTTAGGTGGGAGACCGGCATCGAGACGCCTTGAGCGAGGCAGCAGTGCGCATGGCCAGGGGCAGAAACACAGGTGCTGAGGGAACTAGTTACTGAAAACACAGAGGCCGAGGGAGTTTAGGCACCAACAGGGTTCAGCAGAAATGTTGTGAATTGCAGTGGAGGCTCCAACTGGGGTTTAGGCACCTAAATAAATACTGTGAATCGAGGGCTCACTGACAGGGAAACTGAGCTAAGGACGGGGCTGGACTGAGGCCTGGTCCCCACTAAGTCCCCACTTCGGACTAAGGTACGTTAATAACGTAGCTGAATTCGAAGTACCTTAGTCCGAACTTACCGCGGGTCCAGACGCGGCCGGAAGTCTCCCCCCGTCGACGCCGCGTACTCCTCTCGGCGAGCTGGAGTACCGGCGCCGACTGTGAGCACTTCCGGGATCGATCCGGGATCGATTTATCGCGTCTTAACCAGACGCGATAAATCGATCCCAGAACATCGATGGCGTGCCGCCGGACCAGCCGGTAAGTGAAGACTAGGACTGAGGCTTCACTTCTTCAGGGCACGTGTTCACACTCTACTCATGCTCACTGCGAATTTTCTGAGCAGTCTCCAAACTCACATTCTCAGGCAGGGCATGTTTTGATACATCACCGGCCTTGGCATTTCTAAGTGGGCCTGAGAAATAATCTTCCCTCCTCCCCCTACGCACAACCAATTCCTGACGCCCCCACTAAGCACTGGGAACGTCACACCTGCGAACGTAGGGGAGAGTCAATGAGACGATTCACTGGGACACTGTCCAAAGAGATCTAACCCAGTGACACACAGAAACTGGGGGCATGTGGCAGCTTTAATTCTTCTTTACCCCCCCTCTCCCGACCCCTACCCAAAAAGTGCAGCCGAGCTGCTAGATCCTTGCAACCATCGTGATTAATGTACATCCGTTACATTTTCAAGACTCCCTGCTATAAAAGATATTTAACGTGGCTTGGTTTTTATTATGGAGAGGGACGAGAAGGAGAAAGGGGGTGTTGCTTGGCTGAGGAGGAAAAGATGGTAAGGAATGGACATAATTCTTTCCCAGTTGTCAAAGCCGGCGTGTTCTCCTCCCTGATCCTCCACCTCCTTCCCCCCGATAATGGGACCCTGGATCTTCATTTTGAAAATATGGTCACCCTACCCCTGCCTCTGCAGATTTCAAGAAATCTGCTGGAATGGGCCAGCCCTGCAACCCTTAACCATTCTGTATGAGAAGCAAACCCTGCTCCCCCCACCCTGCAAGGGTTAAAAGGAAACTGTGTGAGCTGGAACTTGTGGAGTTTCCTGGCATCAGGCACCTTTATACCAGTACAACTTGTATTCACACCAGGGAGTTTGCTGATATAACTATTTTGTTTTAGAAAGAAAAAAAAAAAAGAAGAAGATCCCAGCCCTCCCCAGCACAGTTCAGTACAAAAACTATACGCAGAGCAGGCCTTAAAAACATGTCTCCTCAACGTTCTTCCTGTATGAAATCACTTCTGCTTTTCTACCTTGTCATTGTAGGGAGCTAGTTTCACTACGTTGCTGGTTTTGTATTTCTCAGATGATTCTATTCTGAATTGTTCGAGCAGGTCTGGGCTGGGAGGCACTTGCAATGCAAAAATGACTAATTCTTACCTTGTAATCCAGGGCAGCCTCCTCGACAGGAAGCACGGCGTGTTCTTTGTGACTGCGGGACTCTCTGCAGACCAGACAGATGAGAGTTTGATCCACTTCACAGAAGAGTTTCAAAAGTTCCTCATGTTTTTCACACGCTTTCTTCACTCTCGGCTCTGGGAATTTTTTGGCTATTTCAACTACATTCCTCAGCTGCCGGTTGGGCTGGAATTCCCCTTCCCGGAACGGTTCTCTGCACTGAGGGCAGGGATACCGGGGGGAGGTTTTGGACTCCTTGCAGTACTGAGTGATGCAGGATCGGCAGAAATTGTGCCCACACTCAAGAAGCACCGGATCGTTAAAATAATGCCTGCAAAGGGAACAGATAACAGCCTCTTGGAGACCTTTTACCCGGCTTCTTGCGGCCATGGCACCTACGAGAAAGAGGAAAGTAACTTTCACTTTGCTCAGAAATGTGTCTATCCCGGACTGAAGCCGGGCTCCGCCCTTCCTGCAGCTGCCTGCCTCCTGCCTCATTGCTGATCTGTCCTGAATGTGTTCGCTGGAGCCTGGGATCCTTCAGTTCTGGAAAGGAGAAAATATAAGGAGATAGGACAGACGTACATAACATAATATATCGAACATTTGTATAGATTAGGCTTTAAACAAATATTTCCCCGTACTGTCATAAAACAGAATTATGTCAGTCAAGTCACTGAAGTGATACAAGCATTTTCTAAATAAAAAAGAGATGATCATAAAATCCCTCATTCCATGCCCACTAAAACTAGGGTTACCATACGTCCGGATTTTCCTGGACATGTCCGGCTTTTTGGTCCTCAAATCCCCGTCCGGGAGGAAATTCCAAAAAGTCGGACATGTCTGGGAAAATAGGGAGGGGGGGGGGTCGTGTGGCTTGAGTCCAGGCTGGAGCTGCTGGGGCCAGAGCTGGAGCCGCTGAGTGCTTGGCCGCCGGCCGGCGCCGCTCACTCTGCCAGGGCCGCACTGGAGCCGCTCAGCCGGAACCAGGTCCCGAGCCGAGCCGGCCGGAGCCGCTGGGACTGGGACTGGGACTGCTCAGCCTCTGGCCAGC